CGCTCGCCTGCTGTGTCGGTCCCTCCCCAGCTCAAGTGTTCTGGGGGTGCACAGTGCGCCACACACACCCGTGTCACAGGCGCAAGGCTGATTTATGCTGGAGCAGAAGGGAGCAGCATTACGTAGGGAGCTGCTGAGCCCCCTGGGAAATAGTGTGACAAGCATATTTGACAGTGCTTAACTACCTGTTTTCAGTCTCGCTTGCTCTGTTGATTCTTGCACTGTAATGGAGCTCCTCCTAAATTGCAGATGAAGAAGAGTAGGGTTTTATACCCCACTCTTCATTACCTGAAGTACTCCTGGAGTGGCTTACAATCTCCTTCCCTTCCTCTCCCCACAACAGACACCCTGTGAGGGAGGTGGGGCGGAGAGAGTTCTGAGAGGGCTGTGACTGACCCAAGGTCACCCAGCTGGCTGCATATGGAGGACGAGTGGGGAATCAAACCCGGTTCTCCATGTTGGAGTCTGTCGCTCTTAACCACTACAGCGAGCTGTGGAAATGCCCGGTGACCTTCGCTCTGTGCTCTCCATTTTCTGCAAGGCATTGATTATCTTTGCCTGGCAAAGGGGCTGCCCAATGGAATGCTTCCCTCGTTCCGGAGAGTGCCTGCGTGCCTGCCTGCCTGCCTGCCTGGGCATCTGCTTTGCTGACGGGGAGGGCATTTTGCCGGGTCCGCTCCTGCCTCCCTCTGCCTTTCTCACACTTGGAAGGGGCTCCGCCGGGGTGCCCGGATGACTGCTGATGGCCACTTGCGCAGGTGTCTCTGCGAGGCTCCAGACGGCTGTGAAGCCGGAGCTCTCGGACGGGCCGGCTGTGCAGGTGGCCCCTGGGCTGCAGGACGTCTCAGTGTGCAGCCGCTGCCGGCTCTCGGTGGGCGGGCCGGTTGCCTCTCAGCCCCGTGGCCTGGCCCTTCGAAGCACAGAGGCAAGTTCACCAGCCTGCGGGACAGCGTGAGGAAGAGTCCGGCCAAAAGCACGGGCAAAGTGAAGGCAGGCGGTGGTGACGGAGGCCTGGGTGGCTCAGGCCCCAGTGGCTCTGGGGAGAAGGTAAGCTGGCTCGGAGGCCCAGGGGGGCCAGCCTCCCTGCTTTGTGATTTCTCTGGTCATGCCTGGCTAGTGCAGCTCCTTGCTTGGGAGGGGGAGGGGAGGCCCTCCCCCTCTGTGTGTGTGTGTGTGTGTGTGTGTGTGTGTGTTTGATGTGGGCGGGATCAGCAGAGACATTTGGCATTTCATTGGTTGAGCTCTTGTTGTGTTCAGTGGGGGGAAAGAAGGCTCTCGGTGCGCAACCCCCCCCCCCCATCGATTGCCGGACTATTTATAAAGCTTGTCAAGTGGGGTCTCTTTCAGAGGTTCTTTCGACTGCTTTTTGAGGCACGAGGGAAGTTCTCCTCTGTGTGTGCATGTGTATTTATTGTAAACCCAGAAAAGCAGCGGGAGTGAAGTCCAGTTCTGCCAGTGGGTAGGGAGGGAGGGAGAAAGTCGCTGGCCAGTGGAATGAGGGAAGAGTCTCACCAGCAGAACTCCCATTAGTGGGAGGAAACTCTTCAGTATTTCAGGCAGGAGATCTGTTTCATGGGATGGACGTGCGGGTTTTATCTTGCTTGGAGTCAGTCAGTGAGGACCCTTGGGCTGTGGCAGCAGCTGCTACCGAAGCAGCATTTTAAAAGGCCTGAAGCCATGCTGGGCAAAAGCTCTGTCTGGCCCCAGCCACCTTCTAGAAACATTTGCCAGGGGCTGTGGGGAGCCTGTGGGGGCACCCTGTTGAGGGCCCTGGGTTGAGACCAGGGGTCATTTCCTGCCGGAATGTGCCAGAACGGTGCTCTGGCAGAAAGGAGGCCGGGGGCGGGGCCCCGCGCCACCTTTCCTGACCCCGCCCGCCCAGGCACACAGGCCAGGGAAGGCCTGCGGAGCCCCCCCCCCCCCCCGCCGCCTGGGGTTTTTTAAATGCCGTTCTTTCCCTTCCCCATGCCTGCCCTTTGTCAGGGGGTGTGTGGCATATGCAAAGGAGCTATGCAAAGGAGCTGCTGCGCCTCTTTTTCTTGGCAATGACCCCTGGTCGAGACGGTTTGTCTGAGGATTCTGAAATTAGTGGGAGAGCCCCTGCTTGGCATGCAGAAGGTCCTAGGTTCAGTCCCTGGCATCTCCAGTTGTTAAAAGGACCAGGGGCAGTGGGTGATGGGAAAGACCTCTCTGCCTGAGACCCTGGAGAAAAGCTGCTGTTTATCTGAGTACGCAATACTGACTTTGATGGAGCCAGAGGGCCTGATTCAGTATAAGGCAGCCAGCCTCGTGGGCTCTCATAATCAGTCCAAAATAATCAGTCAGGTAGACGTAATCGAAACACATTTCAGAAACATCTGATGAAAAATTACTAGGTAGTAGCATTCTAAAGCTTTTCCTATTTGCAGCTTATTCCCCCACCCCACCCCCACCCCAATATCTGCAACTTCACCTTTTGGCTGATTAGTTTCTGGGTGGGGTAGATTTTGAATAAACATCCCTTCATTCACCCTCTGTCCCTCAGCTGAAAGGATCAGGCAGGAGGTGACATGAAAGACCCCACACACACACCAGGGACCCCGGAGATCCCCCGGACCGCCAGCCTGAGTCGGCATGGGTCCTGATTCAGAACCCGACAGAGTGTGAACAGGGGAGTTCTGCACAGGAGCTGATCGGAGACGTTCCCCCCAAAGAGACGAAGCTTCCTGAAATAGAACAGGCAAGCAAAGCTCTTGTCCACGTTCAGTATTGAGGAGGGAGGAAGACTCAGCGTGCTCATTGCATTACCTCTCCTTGGAGCAGGAGTCTGTGTCGACACCCTTCCGTAAGCCACAGCTGCTTTAAAGAACAGATCCAGGTGGGGGCAGCCCTGTTGGCCTGAAGCATTACAGAGCAAAGTCTGAGTCCATCCAGGCTCCTTTGAGACCAACTAAGAAGTGTTTAGTTCTGGGTGGGAGCTTTCAAGGTCGTGCAGACTTCTTCAGATCTGCATCACGCACACACACGGGAGCTTATGCCCAGAATGAAACTTCGTTTGCCTTTAAGGTGCCACTGCTTTAAACAGTAGAAAAGAGCAAGAGTCCAGTAGCACCTTAAAGACTAACAAAAATTTTGGCAGGGTATGAGCTTTCGTAAGTCACTGTTCACTTCTTCTCTTGCTTGCCTGTTATCTTTCTTCATTCCTCATCGACCTTTCTCACCGAGATGCAAGGCAGATCACAGAAATCTAACAACAATGCAATAAAATAGTATAATATGAAGTATAAGTATGATATAATATAGAATCGTATAATATAAAGCAGTGAGAAAGGTGAGAAATAATGCAAATAAAAGAGTATATAGTACATGAAAAATTTTTGATAAAATGGATTACATTACAAAATAATGCAATAAGAACTGGACAGTACATATAATCAACAAAGTCTCTGGGAGAGGAACCTTCTTGTAGATTTTCCAGGCACAAGTAAAGCCACGGCCCTATTTGTTATTTAAAAATGCCCTCCTGAACCATTCCATTTTAATATACCCTTAATTCCTCTATAAACATGCCCATGGGACTGAGTCTGGACTTCTGCAACCCCTGTCCCTGTATAGAAAGGCCATCGCAAAACACACCTTTGTACAGACCGATGGAAGTGTGGGAGCCTCCCTTGTCAGGCGGGCCAGTTTCACCAAGTGAGCGCTGTGGCCTCAGAATGGTCAGGCAGAGTTATTTGCCCACTGGACAGAAGTTGTGGGTTTGTACTTGGCGCTTGAAGCTCTTTGCTCTCAGGGACCAGATTTGCCAACCTGGAGAAGCTGAGAGAGACAGAGAGTTATGTAAAGAAAGACCTTCACGGGACCCCGCATTCAGAGGAGGAAGACCATCACCTCCGGATATCAGTGCCAGGAGGCGGCAGCTCCTCCTCCTCCTCCTCCTCCTGGGACTGGCACATCTCACCTGACTGTTTAACAGCTCTCTCTCTCTCTCTCTCTCGGTTCCCATGCACACATCCCTAAAGGTCAGAGGAAGCTGCTCCCCCCACGACTCAGTGTGCTCACTTGTCTTGCATTGGTCTGGCCGCACTCGCTCAGCCTCTCCGGGCTCAAAGGGGGGGGGGTTGTCTGGAGGATAAAGTGGAGGAGAGGAGAGCATTGTAAGCGGCTTTTGGCCCCCATTGGGGAGAGAGGCGGGGGGGAGGGTAAATAAATGGTGTGTGTGTGTGTGTGTGTGTGCGGCATTCTTCAAATTCTCACTTTCACTCTTGTTAGATCTCTTAATAGTGTTGATGAGTTTTTTAGTGAAAGAGCTTAGCTGCAGGATGAAGGTTGTCTGGGCACTGAAACTAGACCTCTGCATGAGGGGAGAATGCTTTTGCTGGGGTATATCTCTACGTGCGTAACCCATGAACGGAGCCGTGTCGGAGTGCACCGAGGGGGTGGGTGTTGCTGTGCCGGGGGGTGGGTGGTCCTTGGCACATGGTGGAGCTCTTGTGCCAACTGGAAATCGCCAGATGCTGCACGGCTGCTCTCTTCACTGGCCGCACACGGTCTCTGTTATGAGTGGGACGTTCTTATTTCCCTTCCTCTTAAAGTAAAGGAGCCATGTGGGGCACATGCAAAGTCATAGATCCAGTCGTTGTTCAGAATGCCATCCGATGGTGGTTCACTGCTGGAAATTCTTGCCCGTGGTTGCCTTCTGGCCTTTGGATCAGATCTGGAGTCTTGCCTCAAACAGACCCGGGAAACGGATTGCCATGTGGTGGGGAGGGGTGGGGTGAGTCTTAGAGAGGAACCACTTTGGCTTTCCCCTTGGCTTGTGGGCAGGGAGGAGAGGCTGCCCGGGTGTGCCGTGGAGGAAGGGGGGAGGGATGCCTCTCCGGCAGGGTGGGCATCTCCCAGAGAGCGGCTTCCACAGCAACCAGCCGCCTGGGCTGCTGCCCCTTCATGCGGCTGCCATGTGTGAGTGCTTGTCTGTGTTGCATTGCTCTCTCCTGACCTCTCTCCATTGATGATTTTAGGCAAAGGAGGCGGTGCCTCTCTCTCCTCCCATGGTCTCTGCACTGCCAGTCCCTGCCGAGGCCGCGTTCATCCCATCCTCCATATCACAGGTGTTTATTCCTTTTTTTTGCCGTTTGTATGCTTCCCGCCATCTTTCTTGGCACGGCATGCGGTTTTGGTGCTGGGCTGAGCGCTGTTTGCATGGGGCTGCTGAAGACCAGGGCGCTGCTGCTGCTGCTTCCATCATGCCGTTTCCTCCCCCATAGAAGGCCTGTCATTCGCAGCCCCCTTTATAGAATTAAGACCTCAATACTTCACAGGATGACTGTTCCGGAAAGGCGGAGTGTCTGTGAGGCCATTCTGTTTCTGACTGGTTAGCTTGAAATGTGTGGACCCCCCCCCCCCCCCGGGCAACTGGAAAGAAGACCGTTCTCTGTGCGGGATAATTTCTCAGAAGCCAGCTGAGCAGGTACCTGCACTGGAGGAGCGAGGGCTACCAGGACTTGAAGAACGGGAGGGTGTCCGTGGCAGTGCCCAGCGTTCTCTCTCTGCTAACGCGGTGTGGCCAGGTCCGGCCAGTCCAGCAAGGCCGCTGTGTCTGATGCAGCAGAAACAAAGGGAAGGGCCTGTGGCACTATGAAGATTTAAAAGGCCACCTGCGGAGACCTGAGCCCAGTTCATCACAGCAAGAAAAAACGAAGCAGTTGTTGCCACCAGGTTAAAAGACCTGAACTGTGATCATTCTCTGCAGAACTGGAGAGTATCTGAGAAGCGTGGTGATCATTCACAACAGCAAACACATATACGAAGTGACTAGGAGCAAAGCCCGTTGTGGAGGAAGACAACGGGCCCTAGCATGGCGCGACGGAGGTGCCCCGGTCTCCCCCCCCCTTGCGCCGCCTCGGAGTCCGGGGGTGAGGGAGCGGCTTGTGAGTGGCTTGCCGGCCAGGTGCAGGCAGTGGGCTTCAAGCGACCTGCAGCAGCCTCGGGGCTGGCGGCGGGCTGGCCCCCGTCCAGTGAGTGAGAGACCAGGCAGCTGCTGGTAGTCGGCGGTAGCAGGATTGGGCTCGGCCTGATGTCCCCCTCCCCCCGTGCACTGGAGTGGCCGGCGCATCCATCGTCCGGTCACAGCCCAGCCGGCAACCTGTAGCCGGGCTAGGGCTTGGACGATGGCAGCAGCTGGATCCGGATGAGGCCCCCCCCCCCCGCTGGAGCGGCCAGCTCGTCTGTTGCCGGGTCGCACACAGGCCAGGCGACTACATGCGTGCAGGTGAGGGCGGCGGCAGCAGCAGCAGGATTGGTCCAAGCCCCCCCCCACGCTGGAGCGGGTGGCCCGTTCGTCGTCGGGTCACACGCAGCCCGGCTGGCTACGCGCACTCAGGAGAAGACACCCGCGGCAGCAGCGCACTGGGGCTGAGGCCCCTGCCCATTGGAGCATCCGACCTGTATGTCCGCTTGAAGAAGAGTGAGGGTGAGATGCTGGGTGCCGCCTCTGTGGGCGGGATGACGCCCACAGAGGCAGCAACGCAGGCAGTGGAGACAGATGCCTTGTGAGTGACACACCAGGGTGCCAACCAATTCAGGAGCGTGTTGAATGTCCTGGAGAGTGCCACCACCAGAACGCTTTTATTATATAGAGAGATTTAACACCCATCAAGACTCAAAGAACTGTCAAAGCTGATGAGTTCCCGGCCAGTGTTGTCAGACTCCAGAGGCAATTAACCTTGGATTGCCAGTGTTAGCCAGCGCTAGAAGACTGGCAGTCTGGGGAAAGCTTTGGCCTCCGTTCCATGTTGGTTGGCCCTCCGGGCCCTACTGTATGAAGTAGGGTGCTAAATCATTGCTGTGATCCAGAAGGGGTGGTTCTTCTGTTCTTCATTCAGCAATTTCCCGTTGGAGTTTCTCTTTGAAGTTCCTTCATTGGTTTTTGAATGTTGTCTATATTGCAGTATTTTGAACATTAAAATTATAAGCTGCACAAAGAAAACTATGAGCATGTGAGGGTGAAAGCAAAGGAAGCTCTAGCAGCATGGACCATTGTATAGGTTTCTGCCCCCCAAGCCTGTCCAGGAATGAGGGGGGAAAGGGGGGAAGCCCATACTTTCCCAATACATTAAACAACAACTCAGAAAGGTACCCTCTCTGGATTCAGAACAATATGCCATCAGAATCCCTTTTTAACTAGTCCCGGCTTTTCCCCATGGGAGGGGATTCCAAACCTTTAGGTTAGCCTCTGGGACAGAACACACTAGCAACTCCTCAGAGATGCACTCTTAATGGTCAATGGTAGCGTGTAGCCAGCCAGGCACAGGAAAATAGACTTGGAATCTCAGTTACAACATCAAAGACCAGTTAGAAGCAAGAATAAGTTTTTATTCAGTTCAGAGTATTGCAATTAGACTATAAGATTTCAAAACAAGAAAAGCTAGGGCTGTTTGCCTTAACTAAACATTAGGTAAAGGTAAAGGTTCCCTTGCTCGAAAGCCAGTCGAATCCAACTCTAGGGTTGCGGTGCTCATCTCCGTTTCAAAGCTGAAGAGCCAGCGCTGTCCGAAGACGTTTCCGTGGTCATGTGGCCGGCATGACTAAACACCAAGGCGCACGGAACGCTGTTACCTTCCCACCGAAGTGGTACCTGTTTATCTACTTGCAATTTCTTGCTTTCGAACTGCTAGGTTGGCAGGAGCTGGAACTAGAGACAGGAGCTCACCCTGTCTTGCGGCACCCGGGTCTTGAACCGCTGAACTACTGACCTTCCACAGCCTGCAGTTCAGCGTCTTAACCACTTGAGCCACCGCAGCTCAACTAAACATTAGAGATATCCATGTTCCAGAAGTGTCCAGGATACAGTCCAGTTAGGTGCCAAGGGATTTTTAGGAACAATCCCATCTTTGCCCCCCATGTGCTCTAAGGCACACAGCAGTCCTTTGTCTCCTCCAGAGAGCACATGGCCAGGCGCTTAACAAACAGGCAACAACAGAAGCAAGAGCAGAACAAGAGCAAGGGACAGAGAGAGTCCCTCTCATTGGGTCTGAACAGTTATAGTCCAATCCCAGTCTCAGTCAGCTGTGGCCATCAGCCAATTGGAGTGGACATAGGTGTGTCCAATTTGTTGGTTGTCATGGGGACAACTGGGGATAGGCTGGAAGTTTGGAAACCACGCCTGCAGTCACATGGCCCCCAAGCTCCAGCTTCTCCATTGCTGACGTGACTTTTTGCCTGGGAGCCAGCCATCAGGACTGGCTGCATTTGGGGGAACAGCCGTACTCCATACAAGTCTATCCCCAGTTATTTTCCCTGTCAGCAGCTGCGGACGATGCATGTCGAGGGCAATGTTGCCGAATAAGTTCTGATAGATTAATTTGTGGAGGGAAAAGAGCAAGAATTGGACCAGTTCTTCTGTGCAGTCGATGTAAAGATAGACTTGCACCCCTGGTGTTGGCTGGAGGAGGGGAAGCTGGAGCGAAGGAGCTGGTGGCCGTTTCTCCTCCG